CTTCCTTTGCTCAGGTGATCACAAGAACTGGAATGGCTTCCTGATGTGGTTTTAGTTACAAGGCAAATTTCTAGTTACTTCTAGAAACAAATGACATAGTAAAAAACAGTTTAAAAAAAAAAATATAGCCACTGAATATCCAGCTTAAATTGTAAGACACTTATGTGATTCTTCTGAGAGTTGCAAGCACCCTACGGACTAATGGATGTATTTTTAACTCTGACCAGATTTGATTCTCTTGCATAACTGCTGCTGTTTCCATCTTGTACCTTCTGGAGTGAAGGGAAGGGCTCGCTGCTGCTTCCCATGTAGACATTTGCTCAAACCACAGTGTGTTCAACGGGGAGCATGGCAAAGTGTAGGATTTTGGCTTATGTTCCCTTTTCTCTTTTAGGCTTGGTTGGGCTCCACTGAAGTTAAGAGCAAAATTCTTATTGATCTCAGCGGTTATAGGCTTCCTGAGTTATAAACTGATCTTCAGAGGTGCTGCTCATGGAGGACAGAGAGTATGACAAGTCACTCCTGTTTAACGCAAGCATTCAGGCATGCAGTCCTGGAAGCTGGATTCTGGCCTTTGTTTTCATGGCAAAAAACGCAATATGTAAATTGGAGTAGTCAAGGTTTTAGGCATGGGGGGGAGGGAATAGAGAAGTTTTTCAGCATGTTTACAGTATAAACTGTCAAGGCTAGGATTAAGTCTGTCTCCCCCAGGTAAATTTTGGATTTCAGCCCTCAGAATCAGAGAGGCAGCCTTCAATGTCTAGTTTGCACAGGCTGATCCCCTTCTGTCCCAGTCACCTGTGGAGGAATAGGTCAGAGTGTCTTTTAAAGCCTCTTGAACTGAACTTGGAAGAACTTGGAAAGGAAAATTCTGTACTGAGTATTACGGGAAGGAAAGGCTGGGCAGCCTGGGGGGAGTTCGGTGTGTTCCCATCTCCATGTCAGAAAAGCTGCCCCATGCGCTCTGTTTCTCTTGCGCATATGTACAGTAGAGCGGTGGTTAATATATTAAAAAATGAGACTGAAGTCAGGTAGGTGGAAAGGGTGTGTTTATGGTGAACTGGGGAGTGTATGGTTCAGGAGAAAAGGGTTAGCTTGAAAAATTGTAAGATGACAGGAGGAAGCAGTCAAGTGGGGGATTGGTGAGAATGAAAGGTACAATCACAGTTGTAGGTGGAGACTTATACATGGTGGCTGGAGTAAGTTTTTATTATTTAGATTTGATTCAACCTAGTTTACTCCCCTTCCATCCTTCTTTGAAGAGTTGAGACAATTTTATTCTAGGCTTTTAATCTAGGAGCTGTGGATAATGGTCCGAAGAGGTGGAAACAGTAACAAGAAAAGAAAAGCTTTTTGTATGGGCTGGTGCTGTCATACCTGTGCATTTTAGAAAACGCAAACAGGTTACAGATCTGCTTCCCTGCCCCACCATGGGGAGCCCTGGCTGTAGAAAGCTCGTGGCTGTTGTGCGGTCTTCTCCCTTCCCTTCTCTTGTAGGGGTTGATCCATGCAGCTGCGTGCTGGGAAGTGAAGTATTCCTCTCCAGTGCTATCCTGAAAGCTGTACCTCTGTGTAGGTGAGAGTCAGGTATGGGCTTGCAGGGCTTCTTAGGAGCAGCTTAGGTTTTTATTACCTTTTGCTCCCAAGGGTGGAGGGATTAAGATTTGCACAGTGCCAGGGTTCAGAGCGAGGTATGACTTACCTTTCCTTAATTGCCTTTCCGCTACAGAGCCAGCCTGGCTCGGTCTGGTTATGCGAGTAAAGGTCCCGGTTCTGTCTGATCGCATTTCTTCGGGTTGAGTAGCACAGTAGAGGGGTGTGAAAGAGTTGCAAGAAATAGCCAACACATTTGTGGTGACACTATTACTGTGGCACAAATCTGTTGGTTAGAGGTGGCTGGAAATGGGACTGATACAGACAACTCCTGTATGGAGACAACTTAGAGTGAAACAGCAGTGTCTACACTGGTGGCTTTTTTCCTATTGAAGAAACTTCACGCACCCACCTGAACTATCAAGTACACGCAGGAATTCCTCAGTGAAAAATGGTGTGTTGGAGTTGCAGCAAATCAGGCTTTTGCAAATTGGATTATCGGGTATCTTTACCCTGTATTAAGGACTGTCTGATCAATGAGTAATTTTCTTGGGTGCCAGCATTTCTTCCACTGAGGATGTGTTACATCTCAAGATGTTTTTTTTCTGCTGCTACAACAGATTTGTGTGTGTGTGTGTGTGTGTGTGTGTGTAGGCCATTAAAAAAGAAAAATCAAAAATTGTCTTGATCTCTGCAGAATAAGCAGTTAGAGAAACTCGTGGTGGCAATGTGGAAGGACTTAAAAAGATTGAGGTGCTTATTAATAAAAGATTAAACATTATTATTTTAAAAAATAATAAAAGGAATGCTTTGCATTATTATACATTTAAAGTAAGTACAAAATCAGTTCATATATAATGTTGCACTTTAACCAAAGTATTGATTCCACAGTTCACTGTATCTGTGGGAGGAAACAGATCTTATAAATAAGTTATGTACTAGATCTTAGTTCCATTTATGAAAAATGGAGTGAAGTTTTTTCCCCGTGAGCTAAATGCTTCTCACTTATTGTCTCATTTCTCGTCATGAGGCTGTTTGCCTTCTGTGTCACTGCATATTTCTGCTCCCGTCACTGTCCTGGTGCTCCCCGCCTGGAGAAGCTGTTTTGCTGGCCTCGTTGTCCGTGTTGTTGTTGAGGATGTCGTCGCAATCCATCTGTGCCATCAGGTTGAAGCGCTCGGCCACACAGTGGGCGGTGAGGCGAGCCTCAGGGTCATGGTCCCAGCACTCTGTGATGGTGTCGCACAGAAAACGCATTCCCTGCAGTCAGAAGGGCTGAAATTAAGATCTGAAGGCAGGAGGAAGAGGAGCTAGAAGCTGATCTAATGCAACCACAGTTTTTTTTACCATACTTCTGACAGCTTCCTGCAGAAATGCTTTTTTTTGGCCAAGCTTAAGCACAGGAGGAAACTGCCTCGCTAAGTGGTGGCAAGTGCCAGTGCTCGCACCGTTACCGGCGCCGCTTGCGTTAGAGCAGCAGCCTTGGCTCACCTGGGATCTGGTCCCAAGCACTTCCTGTGCTCCCTGGAAGTTGTTTTGTGTTGACTGTGGGACTTAAATAGGAGCCAGAAGGAAATAGGCCCTCCATCTCCTGTCTCAGCCTTGCCCGTTTGGATCAGAGCACCCTGAAATCTGGAGGGACATGAGAGGTGCAGATGGTGACCTGCAGGCTGGCAGCTGAGCCCAGGTCTCTGGGTTTCAAGCCTGTGCCCTGGCTGCTATACCTGGATGGAGGGGAGGGGTGGGGGGTTCAAAGGCAAGGTTGGAATTAAACTCTGTAAATCTGATTTCTTGTTTTAGCAGCTTTCTGAAAGGGTGTGCTGTGCCAAATATTCCTTGCAGTGTGCAGCTGAACTTTGTTTTCTCACCACAAAATAATGTCTTGGTTTAGGTGGGATTGTGTGTGCTCCAGAACACATTCAGTTCCTCTCAGTTACAATGGTTTTGTCTCCCAGTAATACATACATTTTTTTTTTTCCCAGCTGCATAGTGCTCTGAAAGATTCCTAGTATTTTGGGCTTAGAAACAAAATGGCAGTATTCAGCTGGTATTTTTCCCACTCTTAAGCTAGTAACACAGCTAGCACCAGAAACTATGTTGAACCTTCCTTTGCCTATGTAATAATTCCTATCATGTGCTGTTGCTTTTTTGCATCATTGTCAACCAAGGTTGCAACACAGTGGAAAAAGAATTATTCTAAATAAAGCTTCATGTTTTTCAGTAGGTTTTTTGTATTTCTTAATTTGCAATTAAGACAATCCAAAAGTCTTGTATGGACCAACCCAAGAGGAAAATGCAAGTCCTACGGAGATCATCAGTATCATCTGTCCTTCTGCACCTTACTCTGAACTCGCTGCTCTCTGCTAAGGTTCATCGTATTAGATCTTCTATAATGGACACAGATTAGAGAGAACAGGATTGTGCAGTAAAACTGACAGATGGTGTGTTTCAGTACCTCTTTCGTCACTCATTTATTAGCTTAGTTGAAAGGATTTGAGGATAATTGATTAACATGTAAAAATGAGCTAGCTTAGGTAAAGCTTTTAAAATAAGCCTTTTCTCAAACAGACTGTGGTACTGTCATATGGTTTAGTCATTAGATTTTGTGTGCTTTATTTTGCCCTGCCATCATGACATTTATTTGCAATTTGCCTTGTAAGTAGCCATGATGCTCTTTTGAATGGTACAACTGGAACATCTTGTTATGCTCACAAAATGGACTTAGTTTGGGTTTTTTTATATTTGATATCTCAGATTTCCAAAGGTTGCTGAGTTTTACGAGTATATTTTTAGTGGCAATATTGACTTAAGCTCCCACTGCGCCTTCCTGTCCTGCACCAGCCCTTCAGTTGTGCCAGTACAACAGTCTGCTCAGCTGCTTCATGAGCCAGATCCAGGAATTTACCTGGCCTAAACAACCACTTTTTTTTTTTTAAATGTGGTGGAGTGTGAAGCGAGGTAGAAGTGTGGGCTTAAGATGTTTGTAAGTTCTGGGAAACTTTGGGGGTAAATTTCTTCAGTTGGCTTTATTGGGTAGCCTTGCAAACAGCTGCCCTGGAGCTGCTGATGGGCAGCACACTGGGTGAGTCAGCTCTGTCAGGGGAATTAATGCTTGTTTGCTGAAAATCTTAAACCATGGCCAACAATGTAGGTCCTCACTTGACTGAGAGTGATCCTGATGGTTGCAACATGGAAGTAGCATTTGGAGCTCTGCATCAAACTTGTTTTCGTTGATGGGAACATCTACGAGTGCTTCCCATTCAGGTGGCAATTTGTCATTCTTTCTTGGTGTCACCCAACACTTCCTCCTGCAGGAAGCAGTTGACCCCAGGAGTGGCACAAACCGGTGGCTTTCTGCTGCTTCCCAGCAGATGGTGCTGCCCTATGCCTCATCCTGGGGAGACCTGTTGCAAAATGCCCAGAAAATAATGTAAAGCCAGGCTTGTAAGGAGGTGTTTATTAGAACAGCTAAGATTAGTTGAAGGCAAACTTTCAGGAACACAAAGTGGCTTTTCTGTTCCTCTTCCCCAGTGAACATCAGGTGGTCTAATAAAAGTTATTACCTTATAAGCCCTTCTCTGTTTACATGCTAGACCAACCCCACTACAGCAACATTACTTCTTGGAGGTGACTGCACTCAGCCCTTCTTCAGCTCAGCAAGCGGTGCAGCAGGTCAGGCTCTATCAGAGTGTGATTTTTGACAACCCAAGCCTCTCTATATTTTTTTCCTGTAGTTTCAGGGTTTATCAAAGACCCTGGGAAGTGAATGTCCAAGACGAATACTCAAAGGCTTCAAATATGTAGCAGTACTGATTGAAGTTCCTGTATTTGCCTTCATCGAGGAAAAAGGCTGGGTGAACTTCAGAAACTGACTCGCCGGCTGATAAACTCACTGATGGTCCAGCAGAAACCACAGATTCCTTTGATTCAGTTTGCAGCTTTGGTCGGTCAGGTCAGTTGTGAGTCTTTGGACAAAGATGGTTTTGAGAGGAGACGTTGTAGGGAACACATGGCTTCCCAAGATGATGAAATTATATCTTTCCTTTTGAGAAGCCTGGCTTTATGCGCCATCCAGGCGGAGTGGAAGTGGTAGCAGTGTGTTTTATGGGTGGATACTGCAAAATGATGCACTGAACACTGCAAGGCTCTGTGAGCCAGCAAGCTCAATGTTTCAGTTTGTTTTTCAGATGAACTGAATTGATCAGAGGATGGTGGTTTTCCACAAGACATGAAATTTAAGAAGTACCAAAGTCAGGCAAGATTTGAAAATCATGGTCAGCATGCCTGTTACCCCTTGTGTCCTCAATGTGTGGAAGAAAGTATTGGACCTGGGGGAAGAGAGGACCCTGTCAGGGCCAGGAGGCAGCTGTGTTTCTGGAGCTGGTTGGTCTAGGTGTGCTTGTGGATGGTTTTAATAGAGCACATCTCATCATTGCTGAAGTGTTTCTATTCTAGAGCACTGGGTTATGGTTTCTGTGCTGAAACGCTTTGCTTTCAGACCTTCTGAGCTAAAGGCTGGTGACAAACTTCCCCTTGGCAAGATGAGCTTGACAGGTTCCCTGCTCTCAGCTTCACACGTGTTTCCTGGTTGTTTCACTTGAGGGAGATGCTTTGCGTTTTGCCTTTCCTTGTAGAAGTGGAAGTCTTTCTTCTCACATGCCAAGTCATGACCTCTCATGTTAGAGGTAATTTTGAGCTTGAAAACTCCACAACAAAGCAGGTAGAAGTTGCCTTTCCTCCCCTCTGTCCCTGCTGTGAGAGGGCCGTGTGCGAGGGACTGCGTGTTTTCTGACTAGAGCTTTCTGGATGCAGTGGTTAGGGGAGAAGTGGGGTGGACTCAAATGATTTACTGTTTCATGAGAAGAGCCTGCACTGAAGTGCTTCATTTTGCTGTTATCCTCAAAAAAACTGAGTACTTTCACTGGGCATTCATAATGCTTCCTGATCATGGCTGTTGATCGATAAATTTTGCTGTAGCCCTGGCTGGTGGCATTTGTACCCCAGGGTAATGGGTCTAGTGGGGCTTATGTGGGCTCAGCCAGACAAAATGGAGCTGGAAGAAGGGCCTAGGAGTTCTGCCCACTTTGATTTAACTGTTTAATAAGGCCAAGTGCTGGGTCCTGCATTTCGGTCACAACAACCCCATGCAACACTACAGGCTTGGGGAGGAGGGGCTGGAGAGCTGCCCGGTGGAAAGGGACCTGGGAGTGCTGGTTGACAGCCGGCTGAACATGAGCCGGCAGTGTGGTGGCCAAGAAGGCCAACAGCGTCCTGGCCTGTATCAGCAATAGTGTGGCCAGCAGGAGTAGGGAAGTGATCGTGCCCCTGTACTCGGCACTGGTGAGGCCACACCTTGAATACTGTGTTCAGTTTTGGGCCCCTCACTACAAGAAGGACGTTGAGGTGCTGGAGCGTGTCCAGAGAAGGGCAACGAAGCTGGTGAGGGGTCTGGAGCACAAGTCTTATGAGGAGCGGCTGAGGGAACTGGGGTTGTTAAGTCTGGAGAAGAGGAGGCTGAGGCCCAGACGTTGTTCTCTACAACTACTTGAAAGGGGGTTGTGGTGAGGTGGGTGTTGGTGTCTTCTCCCAAGTAACCAGCGATAGAACGAGTGGAAATGGCCTCAAGTTACGCCAGGAGAGGTTTAGACTGGATATTAGGAAAAATTTCTTCACAGAGAGGGTGGCCAAACATTGGAACAGGCTGCCCAGGGAGGGGGGGGAGGCACCATTACTGGAAGTGTTCAAAAACGTGTAGACGTGGCATTTCAGGACATGGTTTAGGGGGCACGGTGGTGTTGGATTGATGGTTGGACTTGATGATCTTAAAGGTCTTTCTCAACCTTAATGATTCTGTGATTACAGCTTTAATAATTTTTCAGGCTGGTTTAGTGAGGTAGGACAATGTGGGTTGCTCTTTTCTGAACCAGCTACTCCCAGCTTACCTGATGCACCAGCCAGCTGCTTGGGATCTCGGGTCGCCCTCTGCCATGCAGCACGATGTCCCTCATGGTGTCCACACAGGGCTGCTCCTGGACTTTTGACCCAAAAGGCAGCTCATAATTCTTTACCTCTGCAAGGAAGCAACATGTTGCAGCATTACAGGATGTTTTTAAAGCATTCACTGCTTTGGTATGGTCCACTGGAGGAGAATAAATTTGTTTTTATCAGTCTGCAAAAATAAATGGATCTAAAAACAATTTAGAATTTGAACATAGAAACCTAGTGCTGGTTTTCATGTAGAGGTTGTTTTCAGGGACAGGACCGAGGAACCATCTGACCACCTTTCTGAACCTAAGAGATGCACTTGTAGGACTCAGGCTGTCTTTGGGTGAGACATATTCTGAGCAGGTAAAATGTGTTGTGCTGGTGAAAGATGGGAGAGGCAATTACAGTACCAGCATCCAGATTCCTGAGGAGAAATGGCCGTTTTGGAAGAGCAACGCCATGTTGTGGGAGGCCAAGGAGAAACTCCCTGTTGCAGAGGTGAGAGGCCACCCTGGCTGCTGCCAGCTCCTGCCCGATGCGAGTGCAGGTGAATTACTAGTGGGGAGGCATGGCCTGGGGTGCTGTCTCAGGAGCAAAGGATGCACGAGGCATCCGAGCCAGGCAAGGGGCTCCCACCACCGAGCGTGGGCCATGCGGCGCAGCTGGGGCAGCTTTCTTGTGGAGGGTTGGAGCTTCTTGCAGCTCTGTGGGCTTTGTATTGCAAATAGGCGGGATAGGGAAGGGACTGGAGGGAGCTAAAATGGAAGAGGGGAGCAGGCAGGGACTCAGAGCAGGGCAGTTAATGAAATGTTTTCCTACATGCAATTTCAGATGCCAGGATGTGGCTCGGGGAAGTGAGGGGGAACGTGGCTCAGTCAGAGGCTGGAGTTTCCGAGTCCCCATTGCAACATAAACTCTCTGGTGGTGTCTGAAAAAAAAATGCTTGTGGCCAGGGAGGGGGAGGCACGTTCGGCTGTTCCTGCTTGGGTTGCTTTGCATGGCCAGCACTGACTGGGATGTGACTTGGCGGCTGACCGGCTTTGAGTGGGGCTGGACCAGGTGACCCCCTGGGTCCTGTCCTGCTACTTGGCCCTTGAGCTGGCCCCCTCGAGCCACAGCACACAGGGCAGGCAGCCGTGGGGGAGGATCTGCTGCCAGTGCTCAGCAGCCCTGTGGTGACCCTAGCTACCCCAAAGCAGGTCCTGTGCCATCGGTGGGGATGGGAGAGCGAGCCGTGTCCTATTACAGGGAGGAAGGGAGCAAAAAGGTGCGTGGCAACCCTGGTGCGATGCTCCTACCTCCTACCACTTCACATCTGGAGGCCATTTCCCACAAAACGAGGGCCATGGAGTAGACGTCCATCTGCTTGAAAGACTCCAGGTCTTCCAGGTTCACCCTTGACTCCAGGACCTCTGGGGCCATGTACCTGGCGGTGCCCACCTGCCCACAAAGAGGAGAGAGGCTTTAGCAGGGGTGAGTGAGGACTTTGGCTGCGGGGTGACCAGGGATGGTTTGCAAAGGGTCTCCTCCAGGGAGGGCTGGTGGGTCATACTTGCCTGCCCGCTGTTGGCAAAGTCGTCCACCGTCAGGGAAGGGTCAAGGCGTATGGCGATGCCGAAGTCGCAGAGCACGCACTCCTGCTCATTCTTCACCAGGACGTTGGTGCTTTTGATGTCTCGGTGGGCGATGGGAATTTTTGGCCTGCCACAAGTGGTGTAGTCGCTGTGGAGGTGAGCCACCCCACTCACCAGGGAGCCCGCCATCTTCTGTAGGTCCATCCAGCTCAGGACATGGTGGGAGAGGTAGTCCTTGAGGTTGCCCCGGCTGTGGTAGGCGGTAATGAGCCAGTACTCCCGGCGGGGCCCCGTGCCCCGGTCCTCGGCGGTGAGGAACCGCAGGACGCTGTCGTGCTTGAGGCTGGCGTCGGTGAAGATCTGACTCTCGTTCTTCCAGGAGGAGTACTCCTCGCAGGGGAAGATCTTCACGGCCACTGTCTCGTACTGCCCCGAGCGGCTGTGGCTCAGCTTGGCCCTCCAGACCTCCGCGAACTGCCCTTTGCCCACCATCTCATCCAGCTCGATGGGGAGCAGCTCGGCAGGGCAGCTGCTGGCGCAGACGGGGCTGGTGCCGGCCGGGCTCTCGTCCATCAGCACGGACAACTTCTCCTCCCGCTCGGCAGACCTGCCCGGCTCTGGCAGCGCCGGGGGCTGTCCGGCTTTCCCGCCCCACGCCTTGGCTCTCTTGCGCCGCTTCTGCG